GTCTGGAGACGGCTATATGTCATTTTCTTTTCACGCACCCAAATTTATGCGCAGGGTTTTGCCTTGGGCCGTTGTTGGAGTCCCTTATTGAGGCCGATTAAGCTCATCCCTTTCCTCGACCGACCTTTAACAATTCGTCCACTGGTTGCAGACGTTTAGCAAAATGCTTGAGACGCAGCTCGACTTGGTGCCACGGGACCACTCTATCGATCGCCCCACCCTGGTCGGCCTTGAGTGCGGGCAAGTGAAGTAGTACGCTCAAAGGTGAGTGAGCCAATAGGGATGAGGCGGGGAATGTGAATATGAAAGTTGGTGTACTCAAACCACGGCTGATAGTGAAAATAACAAATTGCCATAAGAAACTAGCAAAAACTTATCATTGAAGAAATTGTGCACTTGGACCCCTTACATCAGTCCTATTTAATTTCGTTCATAAATGAATTCATTTCCTTTATCACCAGACACCATCACAACGGGTCAGATTGAAACAGTTATGTGTTTAAAATCTCGTCAATCCGCTTACCGATTGCCCCCAAAAAGGGGACACGACTAATTGAAAGAAAGTACGTTTTCTATCTGCCAATACGGAATTAGACAGAGAAGTAGGAATTATGAAAGAGGAGCATGCCCAGGTCATTGGACTTCTAACCAGCATACCGCATTAGGCTTTACCTGGGCCAATCAAATTTGAAATACTGGGGTACATTCTCGTTAGCACACGCGCACGCCCAGAATACTCGAGCCCTAGTATGAAGAATACAGGTATAACATAACAGGCTTTATTGACCAATCACAAGCCAGAACCACAGGTCAGGCGCCGTCCATCCGAGTCCACCACGCTGGCCACGCCGCTCATTATATACTGCTTCTCATTCGTGTCCTTCTCTGGTTGGTTGCTTATCTTCCTCGCATGCCATTGGAACGAAGATAGACAGAGGATTGGCTAAAGCCAGTGTCCAATATGTCTGCGCCCCGATCCATCGCCACTGTAGAATACCCGAGCCCTAATAGGAATAAGACCGGTACAACAGAACAGGCTTTATTGACCAATCACAGGCCAGAGCCACACGTCAGGCGCCTTCCATCCGAGTCCACCACGCTGGCCACGCCGCTCATTATGTACTGCACCTCAGTCGTGTCCTTCTCTGGTTGGCTGCTTATCTTCCTCGCATGCCATTGGAACGCAGAGAGACACGGGATTGGCCTCGGCCAGGTGGTCCAACATGTCTGCGCCCTGATCCGACGCCACACCACACCACACTACACACCGCCTCGGACAAAACGCGCAGTCAATTTGGGGGCGATTCTTGTTGACCATACAAACATTCGACTGACAAAATTCTGTTTGAAGGAAAGTTTTTCGCTACCACCTCCTGAACATTTTACACAACCGAGTGTTAAGGCTGCAAGGCGTCTAGTGTGGTTGACCCTTGATATACTTTGGTTTATTGTAACAGCAGTCTTTCGAATGACTTTAATGGAACCGAACAAGACACCACATTATCAGCATTGAAAGCCTTCCATTTTTGTTGAACAGTTTCAGTGTTGTGCAATTTAAAGTTACAGATTTTATTAGTACAATTGAGTAGATTATTTTTGTCAGTGGTTACCACAAAACACACCAAGTGGCTCGCTGGTTTACTTGATGTGCTCTATTAATGACCATTCACAAATTTAAAATTAACAATTTTAGATTACCCCTTTTGAGAGTTGTCGTCAAAATGGCGCAAAGTGGTGTGTGGGGATCCGCAGACGTCAAAGACACTTCAGCACTCTTTCGAAAGTTTCCGCGATGTGTTTGTCGATGTGTAGTACAAGGAAATTTAGGGAGATCAAGAAAAAAACATATTCCTGAGAGTCGACGGTAAAGCCGGAATCGTTTAGACGACTACACCTTATTTAAATGCAGCGAAGCCTCAGTATCGTTCAGGCTGGTGATAAGAGGAGTTACGTGTTACTTTTGTGAAACAATAGACAGTTTCGGAAGCTCAAGCAATCCTAATGGAGTATAAGGATTATGTGGGGCCAAGGACCGACAAGATATTTCTGAAAAAGAACTTAACACACGCGACAAACCACCTCGGTTGTTTAATAATTGATGTCATCGTACCTGTTGACGGCCCCACAAGGAGCTACATTTGCCCTGTTACGATCCTATCCAACATCGGGGAACCAAAGAAAAATAAGGCTGACAGAGGCTCAGGCGTTTATTGGTCCGCTGAATCTGGGTGTGCTCAGCAGTGATAGTTCAAACACATCTGCAGTTCGTGAACGTTGACACTTGAGGTCCGTTCAACAGAAACGATTTCATAGACTGTCGGAAGGAAGCGGGGAAGTACGGAGACACTCAGGTGGTCTGTGAGAACGTTTCCAGAATGGCTACTATCAGGATCTGGGGCATTAGTGTCTGCCGTGTGTGAACCGTGGTGACGGTAGTGAATTAGCTACGCTCACCACAGTTCTGTAACGTCTTGCATAACTGAAAGACTCGGAGGATTAGGGTCTTCACTTAATGTCAAAACGGTCACATTTGTAGAAGGTGTGTAGAAGTGATTTTCATTGGGCATGCTTCAAACTATGACGTTTCGGTCAGAATTGTAATTCAATTAATTTCATCGACATATTTGAAGCTGTGGTGGATCGTGTTGATTCAGATCCATTAACTAGGCCGTCGTCACCCGTCCCCTGTCGCGTCGTCTGCCCATACACCCCTGTGCGTGTACCTCTATCCCAAAACTCGTGTCTCCCACCGGCACTCTGAGCCATTTGTACTTTAATAGGTTCACCCAGCCTGTACTGACCAATAACCCCCATTTGCCAGACATGACCTTGTTGAAGACCTTTTACCACGAGACTAACCCAGGAAGACAATAAGTCCAGAGATGGTAGGCACGACCGTTTACTTTTACAGTTGAGTGGACATGTAAAAATGAACACAGGTCACATGGCCAAAGCAGGAGGTGGTGGTACATTCAGAGGGGTAATGAACCAGCGGTCTCACGTGAAAGGGGGGACGTGTGCTGAAAGCTACGAGAACAGGGTTATTGGACGTAAATCAACACGATTCACTACAGCTCTCCCCCTTAACGAATGGAATGGCCGAACCTTTTCTTCTCATAGCATGTTCTGAAAGGCAGGTCGTAAATATGATCTGCGCGATTTAAGGCCTTACTCGTCGCCGGATTGTGAATTAAACGCTTGGCACAATTGTACGCTGTCGGAAGACTTTCGTAATGAATAGCTGTTGGCGATACAACCTTTTCTACCAGCTGGATACCCGAAAGGTTGATCATTGGAAGGTTCGAGCATGATGTCGAATCGTAATATCGCTGACTTCGTTAGATCTGGTCGAGAGTCGAGAACCAGGCCGAGAATAGATCGAAGAGCCTTGCCAAGCAAACGTCGAATTTCGAGGTCGTTGAATCGACAGATGCGGTTGGAATTAGAAAAAAAATGAGAGTCGAGTGATGAGTTTAGAATGATTAGTTGTCGTCGGGAGGCGTTGGTAATCACTGTTCAACGTTAAGAAGTTAGGCAGGTTCCGGAACCTTTTATGCACAGAGCGCGACACCAACACACCTAGGCTAAACCACCCTGCAAACTGTTGTCTTCGCCATCTCCAGTCGTTCTGGGTTTCTGTGCTGCGTAATCGGACCATCTTGTTAACTAAATTAATGGCGCTAGTGAGAAATTCAGCCTGTTAATTTGAACCAATCAAATCACACGCACAAGCAGCATTGTTAAACCTAGCCCGAAACGAACACACAAGGGTGCCCACATTCGTGATGATATCGGAATCTGCTCACACTCCTTGAAGCCCTGCCATTGGTTAGCCTGTCTCTTGATCACTGATGACCTGTCGTGCTAGTCAATCTGCACACGAGACTTGAATCCTTGTCTTAGCCAATCGAATTAAGACACGCACACAGACGCGCGCGCTTGCCAGAAATCGACCTATGCGCTAAACTACCGCAGAGGGTCGAACGTGCGCAGCAGAGGCACGACATGCACCGCCTACTTCTTTCGCCGCGTCTGCTGCCATCAATGCCGGCATATCTACATGCCATGTTCTGTCTCCCTCCTGTACACCATCAGCCCCTAACCCAAAATGCTTCAAACACCCGGTAACACCGGGAGTTAGAAACTTCAGATTTCGTCATTTCGGCAACGCACTCCATCCCCACCTGCTTCCCCCACGACCCACCTCATTCCTTCCTCGTCCCGGGCATGTGATACTCCCTGATGGACAGTCGGACAGCCACCGCCCACTCCTTTCAGATTTCAAGCCAGCTTTCAAGGTGAAACAATTGAAAATAGGCAAACCCAACACCGCCAACGTGATTTTAGTGACCGATTAAAACACACGCTGTTGTGTCTGGGATACAATGACGTGGTTTATTTGCAAGATGACGGCTCCCTTTTTGGAGGGTAGCGTCTGATGAAAGCTGCCACGTCGAACTTCCGCTTGCAGCCGGCGAAGTTCATGTAGCGGATCTTGCCGAAGATCGGACGTTCCACCCAGCCCTGGTCGTGGACACCGCAGATCGACCACATGACCCCTAAAACACAGGCGACAGGACAGTGAAACCTCATGGAAAACAAATGGGTAGCAATAAAAGTCAGTTGGCAGTCTGCACAAATGTGATCCCTTCACAGGACTACCAAAATTTACGAAAGCCACGTTGCTTGATGCACGCGATCTTCAAAGACGCCGTTCTCCGATTTAGGTAGGTACGTCTGTGAACAAGCAGAACCTCGGCCCGTCCAAGAGGGACATATGGGCTGGAATATCCATCGTATCATGAAAAAAATGACGCAAAACGGGTGCAATGTGAGTTTTTGAACTAAACACTCCCGCCAGTGGTCAAACCAATATCACGCCAATTTACCAGAGAGGATACAGTAGGAAATCGTGCTGGTTCACGTCCATTGATCCAGTCGTCGTAACAGTGTTACACTGACCTTTTCACGGCGTCACTATCGATCATGCGAGACCGTCTGCGTGTGCGCCATCTGGCCATTCAACAATTTACCCTTTAACAAGTGCTAACACACCTCGTTAGGCATGCAGTAGCCTTGGCGTGGTTGAAGACCACATGCTGGGGCCCCCAACAATACCATTAGCCAATCAAAAGTGACTGGGACAGATAAATGACCTCAACCCCACCCCTCCGATTACACGATCCTGATCTCACCCAGAAAACATTCGGGTCTCTGTCGCGTCTGGACTTCTTACTCTTCGGTTCAAGACCCACGTTTTAGGGCCCGTACGCAAGTGTGGAAATTATGCATTCCAATTACATCTGGTTTGCCAAATTCCGTTTCTAAGGGGGAGAGCTGTTGTGAATCGCGCTGATCACCGATTCACCTTAATTCACCGACACAAGGTCCCCCTGTTCACAACATGCCTTCAGCCGAGTGGAACCTCAACCCACACATTTGAGCTACAAGTACACACGTGCAAACGCCTGAAGTAAACGGTTGTGTCCACGTCCTCTCCGGCCCTCTTAAACTCAGTGCTCCTGGCGTGGTTTGAGAAAACATGTCGGGGCTCACAACAATGGAATGATGGAAGTCTTTGCAATTTAACAAACCACTAGAGCTTCCCATTTGGGTTATACTGAACTCTCGTAACTGTCCATCATCTACGAACAGAGTTTAATGCCAGTCAATTTTTTCCAGCATGTAAGGCGTGCGCACCGTGTTGAACAAGAGAACGCGCATTTTGATAGGTTGTGCAAAAACGTAGGCTGAACTCGATGGCGTCATAACATTGCACATTTTGTCCACATTTTTCGTAGTGCTTGCAGACATGACGTGTGATACACGGGCTGACTCCTCACACGACACGTTCGCACACACACGTCATTGGTTCAACCAGTTACTTCATAACTCGAGTACACCGACTCTACACGGTTCAGTTCAGCCAATACCAGCGCACAAACACCTCTTCTTTGACAAGCGGCATTGGCTTGGCCACAACTGTCTGCATCCACTTAAATGCTTCACATTGTTGTAAAATGACGTCTTGGGGAGGGGGGGGGCGTAGGGACTGCATTTGGAAGCGTTTTATCCAATCAGAGGAATCGGGCAACCGAAAAGTCGGTTTAATGAAGTTCGGTGGATTTCAGGTGAAATCGTGGGTGCTAAAGACCCAGATATGTGGTCTAGCACAGGGGATCAGGAGCAAACGGGGCCACATAAACGATTGCGAAAGGGAAGTCTGAGTTTGCGACGACGGGTTAATTGACGTCAATTGTCGTCTCCAACACTGATAGCAGTGATCTTTTGGCAAGAGTATTGCTACCGAACAAGCTTGAAGTCTGCGGAAGAACAGAGAGTCAACCGTTTATTCGAGGACTTGACGAAGTCGTCGTGGTGTGATTATACCTCCAATGTATGAGTCATACATGCGGTAATATCAAGACCTAGGGAGTGAGGATAATCCAAGATAAATATCCGTGTGAATGAGGGGGGAGTTGAGGATCCGCGCGGCTGGTGACATGCTGCGAAAAGGGGAAACCCTGTGTTGGAGGATGGAGCGGCCGGATTAAGGAGCGTGAATAAACACCCTCCTGGTCCGATGTTACATGCGTTTTTACCTCAAAACATGAAGAATGACATTACATTAACTCAGCAAATTCATTTTATAAATGCACTAGTAGTGCCGCCACGATTATGGCCAGTTTAGAATGCAAGATGAAAAAAACCGTGCTTGTGCGTGTGTGGAGAGATGACCCTAAACGGAGAATGGCAGATCTGCCTTCGTAGAATGAGAGGTCGAGCCGCCACTAACATTGAGACCGGCGCAATTGGGTATACTTCAAATTGTGTAATCGATCGGCAGCAAAGTGGCATCAATTTTGTTCGAACACCATCTATCACTCTTCTGCCAACTTCATGAATTGACTCCTCTGGGCCTTATTGGACAAAATTACTGAACCAAGTGCTACTGCAGAACATGGAAAAGACTGGTACAACAAAGTGGGTTTTATTGATCAACCATAAAGTGGAACCGTAGGTCAGGCACCGCCCACCCAAGCCCATTATATAGTGCTTCGCATCCATACTTATCACTGGTTGGCTGTTGATCTCCATCCGAGTCCACCACGCTGGCTACGCCGCTCATCATATACCACTTATTAAACGTGTCTCTTTCTGGTTGGCCGCATATCTTCCTCGCATGCCATTGGAAAGCAAAGAGACAGAGGATTGGCTGAGGACGGCGTGGTCTAATATGCCTGCGCCCTCATACGTTGCTACACTGCACCATTATTTGTGGAGATGAGCATCATGACCGTTTTCGACTCAGGTTCTTCTAGACTACACACCCTCCACCACAAGTGATGAACTGTTCCACAAATATTGGACGATTTGAAAATCGTCCAATATTGACTAATTGCGCTAACTTAACAACTAGTCAATATGATCTCAAATTAAACCGGTTTTGACATCGACGGGGTGGTTATCATCAACTTTAGCAGGTTAACCTGAGCACCAATTGGGATTTGTGCAGCCTGTTAAGCAATTAGTACCGTGACCTTCACGTAACCACGGCAGCCCGCCTGCTTTCGGAGTAAAGCATGTCGAAAATGTCTCCGTTGCACTTTCTGCTAATAAAATTTACCTCAAAACAAACAGCTGCGAGCAAAGTTACGCACTTCATGCTCCAACGGTAACGAGGCGTCAACACGGCAGCCAATCTCAGGGTCGGATTTGATTGGGTGATGGCGTTACTTCCTCAATTCAGGCAATTAAAGTGTTATGATGGAAATTAAGCATTCTTCAAGTCTGCATACACGTCTCTTGATACAATCTGGTTTTATCACAAGCAAGCTACGTGGGTTTGCAACCCTGTGCGTTTCTGAAGAGGTGTTCCGAGGCATCGCTCAAGGTACCGGGTGTACCAGTGCTTCTGTTAGCATGGCGTTAAAGCAGAAAAATCGAACTTAAGAGTAGGGGACAGTCGTGAGACTGCTTGAGAACGTCTCACGTAAGGCAGTGAATTGCCATCAGGCGATAGACGATGGACAAGATCCGTTCCACCACACTCCAACGCTGCAATTAACTTGGCTGCCCCGGCTCGTCGACGTGGTTTCAAAACCACACAAATCGCCTCGCGACTGGATCGGTGATATACCGTAAACACAGCACGTAGGTATGACGTGTCACACGGCTAATCTTGCACACCTACGCGCGCAAGGAAAGCCACTGTGCGCGTGTTCGTCTGCACTGCTTTGCGTCAAACACCAAAAGCCTCATCTCAAGGCAGTGGGGAACACGGGAAAAGCCGTTCGACACTGGCAATCTAACTAGTGCGTGAGATGTCCGCACAGTCGATATCAGAATTCAACGTTAGACACCGGCTTCGGTGTGCTCTTGGCACATCACAATTTCACCCCCTGCGAACTACCAGACGACAACTACATCTTGCAGTAGTAGAATCCTCAGATAATCCAAGTAATCGATCCATTAATTCCACCGATCTAGTCGATTCATTAACAACGCTGCCGCGCTCCTTACGGTGATTACAGCGTAGCAATTCTCTCGCGCCACGTCATTTAGCTTCGTGTAACCTTGAAATGTCGCTTACAAAATGCACACACATTTATCTCGCCTTACAGAAGATACAAAAATTCGTGGGTCTAATGAAGGCGCGAGATAGTGGATTTGGCGCACTATCAAGTTCTACAAATTATCCCTGCCTCCGGTACGCAAGGCATACTTCCTAGGCGTCGTGGAATGCTACACATAGCTCTGGAAAATCACACGATTCAGCACCTACGATGGTGGAGAGATTGGTCAAGACAATCCCACAACCACCTCGAGAAAATCGGATGAGAACGAATTCCAGCCCCCAAGTCATCAACACTTACCGACGTATCCGTTCGGGTCGGTTCCATCGAGAGAGTAGAGATCATTCAGCCGAAAACCAAGCTGCAGTGCCTCCTCAGGTCCACCGTCGTGCCATTCCAGGATCTTCTTGGCCCAGTACATTCGTAGGAAGCCGTGCAACTTGCCCTCCTGCACCAGCTGGCGCTGCGCCGCATTCCACAACTCGTCACCAGTTTCTGCCTTCTCCATCGCCTTCGAACTGTACGTTGGCGTCCGCGCGTCGCCTGCGTGCTTCTTCAGGGTCTCACGAGCCCACGACCAGGCACCTGTGGGGGTAGTGGAGAATGACAACTTCGTTAATACGAAGATTAAGAGACCTTTTAGATATTAAAACCAATACACCCGCGACAAATATGCACACACACACACACGCACACGCCAAGTGCCCCGCTGGCCCTTGAGTGTGAGAACCGGCACCCCTTAAGCTACCCGTCTTTTTCGCAAATGAGGACCAACAACGCACAGCACAGGCTGCATTAAGTTTCGCGGTATTCGACTGAAGGCGCTGAAACTGGGCAACAGAACGGTTTGTGTTAGTCAATGAAATACGTGAGTGCGTGTAGTTAGTTGTCGGTGTGGTGAACACTATGATGAAATCTGCCTGCTGACAAGCATTTAGTTTAATCGGAAAACATAATGTCCCCACGTCCTGGAACATGCGATTGACTGGGTGTGTACGGGGGATGGTCATCTACAACCAATTAAAATGCAGGCACTTCTGACGTGGACCTAGTCCAAACACATGAGTTGAATCGATCCGGGAAATTCAAGTCGGTTGCACGCGTGAGCAACATTTCGTGGGAGACGTTGTCTGACACCAGAGCCTTGCCACTTCAGCGCCATTTACCACACCAGTTTACTTGCTTTGACGTGTCCACACACACAACATTGGTTCACTACTCAGGTACACCGACTCTGCAAGCTTCAATTCATCCAACGCCCGCACACAAACACGGTTTTGACAAGTTGCATTTACTCCACCACGACAGCCCGCATTCAACTGTAGTCTGTGGAGCACCACTTCGTGCTTATCAAAAAAGTACACTCAAATTAGTTGTTGTAATCGTCGCCAGTACCTGAGACCAGTGTCACCACAATAAACTGTGTCCAACCCCTTCAAAGCCCAATCAAATCACGAGAATACAACATCGCCAACCTTGGATGGAGTCGTAGTGGGGGTTGTAGAGGCAGAAGTTGTCGGAGAGTTCACGTCGAACGAACGCCTCCTCAATGAAGGCGTCCACTGACTGCGGATGAGAAGTGCGCAGACGCTTTGCCTCCCACAGACAGCGTTGGGCTGAGATGTGACCTTCAGTGGAGACAAGAGAATGCTCCCATCACATTCCACACACACAACGAGATAACTGCCCTTAATCGTCCCACAACCAAGCACTCGCCACACGCGTTCCTGCTCAAACAAGCACCGCCATCAACCTGCTGCCCTCTGTGTGCGCTCTAGGCTACTTAACTCATGGTTTTCACTTCCCTGGTGAGGCGGTAACCACATAATTTATTGCGCAATCCCCTCCACATACTTATCGAACACTAACAGAAATGTGTGGTAATTTGCGTGCGCATGCCGAGACACGAGTTTGAAAAAAGTTTAGTTCAGGTGTGATTGATTTACAGGCAACGACTTGATCTTGTGTACTTGTCTGATTAGAACTGCGTCTCGTGTTTTGAGGCCATCGCTAGATAACCTTGTGACTTCAAACCAGGCCCAAATACTAACATCCCTCATTTGGCAGTGTCAAATGACACTGTCTATAAGCTAGGTTGTTTTTCTTAGCTAAATCTTTTGTCACACAAACACACAGCCGCGTGGAGATTCGAAGGCTTCACCAAGACAAACTTCACGCGTTGTCAGAAGTGGGCACACAGGTGGTTCACACATGAAAACAGTGATAATTTTCTCGAGTACAAGAACAAGGTCAACGATTGAAGAAAATGTGTTCGCTTTCGGGGTTGGTAGACGCGTCCAAAGGTCACCGCTAATCTTGTAGCGGTATTGTGTCAAATTCGAGTGGGGAGAGTTCTTCTCTTTTCGAAATAGTTGGCAGAATACGTTAAGATTCGGCATTATGGGGGTACCGTGCGTTCCTGTAATTGTTTTTTTATACGCTGAACGGTTTCAGACACCATAGGAATTGCGAGGAAGTTGGGCTGACGGTTTTGATGAGGATGCCACCGGTCTGCTACAAGATGAGAACTAGTTGATATTTTTACCTGGCCAGAAGGTGAGTCAAATGACACGCTGAGCTAACCAATCGCCTGCGTGCACTGTGAAGCCCAGCCAATCAAATTCCTCCCTGCTGGAGTGCCTGTCTGACCGGCCTGTGAACTGTTGTGGAATCTCGGACTTACTCATGACAGGCTTAAAACACCCCTACATGGTTGGTGAGGGGGGAGTGTGGGTGGGATTACCCTGTAACGGACTAACAGCAATCGCGCCTAAGTGAACCCTGGTTACCGACCTGACGATGACAATGACTCATCCCCTTAACATTGATTACTGTATCAGATGCCTGTCATCCGTTCACTCATCTACACGCTAAGACACACTTGGCGCGTTTGACACTAATAAACGGTAGTGTTCTCTGTCGCCTCCTGTCTTCCCTCTTCTCGAGTAGTTACGGACTGTTAACTAGAGGGTTGTAAGGTAGTGCTAAGTATCCAGCCACTACAGACACAGAATGCAGCAAATGAAAAACTTTTTCTACCACCGCAGGTAAGAAGACCAGTGGTTGAGCCCAATCGTACAACTGAGCCCAAACCAGAGTCTAACGACAGACATCGACAGCAGGACAACGGCGACAACATCTTTCAATGTCAACGATTGTCTGGGATTAAAGCAACAGTCGGACGGACAAATATATCGGAAGATCCGCAGTGCGTCCTGCCTGTTGCCACGGTTACCGCCTCCATCCCCGGTCATTCGATCTCCAAAAACCATTCCTTCAGCTTTTAAGTTACTGCCGACTGTGTTCGAATCCCACACAGGGACCTCTATAGCCCCAAAGGGGTCATTACGTTTGTGTTCAAACATTTCCAGTTGCAGGGCACCAAGTTCTTGGAAAAATGGCTGTAATAACAATCGATTTTGTTGTTGACCTGATTGGGATGCCGTAACGTGAAATGGGTCGCAACGTGGACGCTCGGGTTCGCAAAAGCGCACCGGCATGGCGATGATTCATCTGGTCCGGTTGCCGGGGTTGGAATGAGGACCACCTTGACCGCCTCGTGGCGGTTGCTCGCCCCACGAAAACACGGGTGGCAGATCGAGGCGACGTCATCTACCGCAACTCAGGCGACCGACCGAGTTTGAACGAAGTAATCGTGTCAACTACGATAGCACACTTCCCACTGGTTCGAAATTCAAATCGAGCGTGCGGCGCGCACAAGGGAGCCATTAAAACCACCACACACGCACACAGAGCGAGACACACGTGGGCACACGCAACGCCTGTAAAACTCCCGTGGGGAGAAGCCCAACAGCGGTCTTCTTTCACGCCTTTGAGGCAGAAGGTGGCCCTCGCCTGACAGGTACGACACGTGAGTTTCACTCACATGAACCAATGGCCAACGGGCGGATAATTTGATTGGTTGTTGAGGGGGAGCGATGATTCGCTCAAGCACACGACGGGGATGACAGAGGAGGGACTTGAAATGACCCTGAGACCACTATTGAGGTGACACTAGACAAACAAAGACCTCGATTGCTATTCAAATCCACATGCATGTCACCACTAACCACCAACATGACATTTTAGCTGAGCGGTAGGCGACAGCATAAATCGCACATTCTATTTTGTGACAGCCAGTGAAGAAACTGAGGTCATGTGAAAAGTGCCTTGCCGCGTTGACGAGGTCAACACGGGCCTCACCATACACAAGTGAACGTTAACCCGTCTAAAGGCAACAATGTGATCGCTTGGCGTCACATGTTTTCGCGCGACTCATTGTAAACACACGCGCGCATGCGAATCTACTGACTTTGTCTGGAACGGTTAGATTTTATTACAAGCGAGTTTGTGTATGGGCGCGTAGATACAGGAAACAGACAATGAAATGAGAATATGAGTAGTAAGAAAGCGTAAATCACGTCGTCTTGGGCGGTGTACACATCACAAATTTGTCGTGGAATGGTCTAGGACTCGTCCACAACATGGTTGCGCTCCAAGAAGCACCACTCTGGGCGCTTCTTAGTGGTGTAAACATAAGCTAGTATGAACTGGCAGAAGTTGCAGTTGATTCAATCAAGATAATTCCGTCCAGACTGTTTTACTCGGACTAGTATGAACTCCCAACGTCCACAATAACTGTGTCAATGAAGCCGACGTGCTACGATCGTCTGTGTGACACTCTCAAGGAGGAAAGGAGGAGCACGTGGCCCCCCAAATCCGATTACGGAAGGTCTCCCCGCGCACGATAACGTGGAGAGGACTAGTTGGCCACGGACACTGAAGGGTCCATCGTAGTTGTTCTGAAGCACATCGTACCTAACGGCAGATTTGTCTTTCTGAAATACGTGGGTGGAGTGAGTTTGACCTTGTTCATCGTCGACGTGAATTGTCCAAATCGTCGTAGTTCTGAAGTGGAACATCTCAACCGACTGACTTTCAACTGCGGCATGGAGTAACACGTCTTTCCAGGGTCCTGGAACACGCGGAACTGTAAGTGTAGCCCCTTCAAGTGGTGACAAAAACGGTCTGGAATGTCATCGAAGTACGTGAATTGAGCTAATTGTGTTCCTCACCAAAACGCTTGGTAGGTCCAGGAATTATCCCAGGAAATCTGAAAGTTCCAAGTCGGATCTTGGAGGATGTGCCAGATATGACCTGACCTTTGACGAACCAATGTGCCAACGATCGAGTGCATCTGATATACAGTTGTCGCCGGCGCTAATGTGACGCATATCACATGACAACGCTAGGATGTAATTCAAGCGTAAAACGGCTAGAAGCCCAGTGGACACTGCAAATTGCAAAACACGAGGAAGGCATCGAAATTGTGCTTGACTGCAGGATGGCCAGGCGTTAACAACTGAGAGGGATGTGGTTGGGTAAAATGGAGACAAAAACGACCAATCAAACTGCGGGGGCACCAATTGGGCCAAATTCGGCTATCCAACGAGAAAGTTAACAGCAGGTCACAAAAGTGCATTGGAGGGGGGAAGGGTGAATGTTTGTTTGAGGTCAAAATCAGCCCAGATCAGGTCACACAGACGATTTGACCTCTGGAGTCGATCAATTATGAAGTGCGTGGGACAATCGATAAATCGGAACTTGTCTAAGTGGAGGTGATAGACACGAACTAACGTAATGAGCTGTAATTTGATCGAACCTTTGTAGAGATTGCGCTATTTCTTCGTGTACTCGTACCTACTGGGCTGATGGTGTCACATTTTGGACGTGTACGGCTACTTTTCTGGTAAAAACAGTCAAAGGCCATTGCCAAACAAAATAAAACAGTTAAGTAACTAAATTTTTAATCTGTTGCAACACCACATAAAAGATTTCTCGGTCGTCCCAGAAGAAAGGCTTTTAATGCAAAATGGACAGCAGGAATTAAACAACGAATTTGATTTCCCGGCAGTTAACTGATTGGCCAACTGAAATGTCAAGGTCGACAACATCAAAGTGTCATCTACGACGGCTCAAAAAGAGTGAGCAGTCATTTCGCGTGAACTTCGGTCGAAGCCGCAGTTGTCTGATGCTAATGAAAGCGGCATAAGGATAGCTTTCATCATGCATGAAAGCGATGATTACGTCGCCAAAACACATAACATTCTACTGATTTACTTAGAGTAGTACTTGTTTGATGGAGTTTAAGGTTTTGCGGTGATAGTGATTTCCACGAGTACATCGACATATCAGACGATTCAACTCACCGAAATGCAACCAGGGAGAAAGATTGCTTAGCGCGTCCTTCGTCGGATCGTTGCGCCCCGTTGCGTAGGCATGCAGTCGATGGTGTAGGAATGAGTAGAGTTGGGAGAAGCCTGCGAGAGAACCACCCTTGGCCCAGTTCACCTCTCCAACACGCTCGTCCACGAGTTCTTTCAGTGACTCCTTCACCGACACCCAATCAACTGGCTCCTGCAACAGCACAAAGAACAACATGTACAGCAAAACACCCCTTCTGGCATCTCTTCAACATCAGAGGCTACAGTCGTGTCTCTTTTGTGTTGCAGGAGTGCCTAGGCACCGTCAGCAGTGCCACATGATCCACGGAATGTCACCCGCCACCTCATTCCCGTCCATTTTACAATAACCTCTCGATTCTCTTCACTCCTCAGCTCTCTAGAGCCTCCACTACCTCAGGGGGGTTAAAACTCAATTTGAGGTCTGCCAAACACCAACTCATCTACGCCGAACCACGATTGTAACAGATGGCCAAGATGGTCCACCACCAACCTTGCCAACCACCTACCACTGGTCACAACACCGCCCACTGCAGAAGCAACCGCTCGCGTACCGATTTCGCAGTTACTGGATGCCGAATTACCGGCGGGAATTCGGTCAGCAGGTGGCGCGCCTTGTCGTGCAGCTTCTTCCGAATTGTCCTCGCGGCATACTCGACTTTGTCCGACGCGAACCACGCCGGCACCACGTTGTGCGCGTCCACCTGCAGTGCAGAAACGACAGTGCGCACTCATCAGACAGACAAACACCGCAACCACCAAAATGCCAACTGTGTGCATGTTCCAGGTTCAACGTGAGAGAGCAAACTGACTACGTGACACGAGTCCACGACCGCCTTCACTGGACTTATGGCTAGTCTTTTGTTATGAGCACTATCAAATGGCCTCAAGTTGATGAGTGTTTCTGTCAGTAAAAGCACAAACGTTGACTCTCCTGTGCAAGCATTAGCAAGGTTCTATCGACTTACATGTCAACCCGCCTGCTCCCGCGAAAAACACACAATCCTTCCCTAGATTAACTTCTCAACCGAAATGTCCTCTTCAGCCGAATGCGTCTAACAATTACCTGCACACACCGTTAACAAAAAAGACAATTCCGCAGCCCCTACAAAGGCCACTTCAAATAGACCAGTGGACTCTTGCCTGATAGAATGGCGTCCCGACGGGAAGGCGTTTCGACACGAATTCCACCGCCTGCCTGTCGTCTCGCAGTGGAGAAAAGTCGGTGATGACAGCACACGCGTTTCGCTGCTTCAGGAAATCAACAAGCGGCTGCAAAGTAGCATGGTCAGTTTCATTGCACGCAAAACTGCCATCTGCATTACGTTTGAGAGAAGTTTTCGACTTGGCCTCGAGTGGAAGGAGGAGGTGGAAACTGATGGCCAGATCCTTACAGTCCTTAAATGTAAATAGAAATAACATGAGAAGCAAAAATTGCGTACCTTAAGCATTCTGAAGATTTACACATACAAATTTATGTGTTTTGTAGACACGATTCATTCAGAAAAAGCATCAAATGTCGATCGATTTGCAACAAGTTAGGGATCAGAATATGCACTTGTGTTGGCATGCACAGACTGCCTGCGATTCAGATAAAATCAAACCAACCAACGTAATCTACTTTAAGTACTGATGCAGTCTTTTGTAACATGCCTTTCCGACCTCCGCAAGACCCTCCAAAAGAAAGTTCAAGTGTCGCCGTGTTCGAAGGGCCACTGATGATGCGACATTAAAGCACACGTGCAGCGGCACCGAAAACTTCAAGGCAATTCGCTGTGCAAACAGTAACGCCCAGTTATCTGCAAAGACACGAAAAGGACAATTACGCAAACCTCAGATTTGTGGTTGCTGAGGCAGCAGTGGGTAGATCTAAATCTAACCGAACCTTGATTAAAACAATGCATAGCACAATGCGCAAGCGTGCAAGCCATGCCGCCAGTGTCCACACAACCACAAGCACTTTCCTTGGACGCGCTGATCTCGGTTCATCCAATAGATAACTCCATTAATAGAATCTCCGGGTACGTTATCAGCAGCGTTTTCGCCGACTGTATTAAACTCATTCTTTCCGCTCAGAAGACGAGCACGATTCACGGCGAAATGGAAGTCGGCAACAGACTTACCGCCATGTTCAAATCGACTTTTGTTTATTTGCTTAAGCCATTTAATGAATGAATCACCATCTGGTCGTAGTTTTGAAGGCATTACTGTAGAAGGATTAGAAAGAATATGTAAACAAAGCCTTCCTCCTGCAACAAAGAAAGCTGCGCCGACGATTAAGAATTGAAGTAGGCAAACTGTTTTACGAATATTCGTTTTAGGTAGTGGAAATCAAGTTGAACACACCCGGAAAGTATCCAAAACAGCTTAGCTTATACCCAGACCATTCTAACTTAAATATTTATGTGCTAATTATGTACTATACACGCATAGTGAATAAATTAATTAGACATCCAAAGAACATTGAAAAAGTAACCTAGCTAATGAAGCGATGCTACATTACCCGAAGAACCATCGGAGGGTCATTTATATTGACATATAAGATTACCAAACTTGTAATAGTGCTAGATTAGACACTTTTGCCCGAAGACTATAAAATGGCTGCTCAAATAATCGGAATTGCCTATACGGCCTAACCAATTACTACCTTTAAAGTAAAACCAAATATGCAAAAATTCGTTTGTCATGCAGACACTTTGTACAGTATGACGCAAAACAAATCGCAGAACGAAACGAAAAAGCATAAACCATCCTAAAATTTAAGGTTGGCTCGGTCATCCTAAGGTCAATACGCTTATGATAGATCGGTATAACAAGGACATTTTGTCATACATTTTCTCCTATAAAAGCACAATATGTAGCAAAATTTTTCGTTATGGTATACATTGCTTCTGAGTTTTATATACAGCGCTTTGCTGTCAAATCGTTGATTTTTGGTCTCTACAGTCACTCCGACAATTATCACCAATTCATAATCCATGGGAAGGTCAGATATAACAAAGATTAAATCTATAAAAAGCCTGAATCAACGTGTACGTGCTTTAAGAGTAGGAGTAAGGTCGGTTAAAAGTCCAATTATTTTGCATATATTGTCCTGGAAGCACTCTGTAAATTATCCTTTTATAACCACTGCATACGAAAATTTATTTTAGTTTTAATAATATCTTTGCACAATATAAATTTGAACTGAAAAGCTGTCACTTAATTTTGTGGTAATGAAAGGATCAAAAACACGATTGAGAGTGCCTGCTTCTGCCTTTAATGACAATTTAAAAAGGAAATTTCGGAACATTAAAATTGTTTGTGTAATGCATCACGTCACTTTGCCTACAGATTTGTACTAAATTAAACTAATGACATTATATTTAAGAAACTACGTTTTCTCTCAGTTAAGATGGAAGACGACATTTGAAACGTTCTGACATCTTTATGTGCTTCAAACCAGTAAGAGATTCAGCGCCACTTTAACAGATTTGTCGTGAATCCTATTTATTCACCCCCTAATCCGGTCGCTCCACCTCCTGCACAGGGTTCCCCTTGTCGCTGAATGTCACCAGCAGCTCGAATCCTCAACTTTCCCATTATTAGTTATTGGGGCCTTGTGGTCACGAAACAATGGACTCTTCTGTCAATGGAAACTGGATTATGGAATGCTCAGAACAGACACAAATGTTTGTGTGTCGCATAAAACTCAAGATGACAAAGACGACCTGAGATGACTGAGATGATCGTTTGTAAGTTGGATTAGTTTTGTTCGACTTGCCTAGTCGTCGTGAGAACAGAGTTGTGAGTTGTTATACGTCGTGGATGTGTACAGGAAGAGACACGGGCCATGGAAGCTGCCGACCAATCGCATTTGGATGAGCTAGCAAAAGTACAAGCGTCTGAATGAAAAAAATACGTGTACTGAGTAAAGAGGTCAGACGCTTCCTAATGCGAGATGGGGACGATGAGAAGTGGCATCTTGTTATTAAGCTGCACAATACTTGTTGTTTAGAATTTAAGGCGGGTGGGGAAGTGTGCCAGGATATGGGCGGACGATTTGAAAGAATGCTGCCGCTCGCTACAGGGCTTAATCGTCAGGCCGGCAAAGTGGAATTACGGGGTCGGCACCAATGATCTGTCGTGCCCCTTATTCGAATTCACGACAACTTCGATTGCTCACTGGAGACTCAGACTGCTTGATTCGGAGGGAAGCGGCATCCTAAAAGGTGCAATGTTTCCACAGTTTTTGTCAACGACCGCTCTTACATTGTACGATGTCCCAATAAATGATCAAGAGCTTGAAACACCCCACTGAATACGTGATGTCGGCAGCAGATTAAATGAGGTGCACCAACTTCACTGATTTCTAGTGTATTTCACCTTATGGTTGCATATCTTGTTGTAGACCACTCAGTAGACTCTCAGAACGCTTCAACAAGGAGTAAACCTCGGCATCAGTCATGACATCTGACAATAGCAACGGCAATTTTGACAGGCGATTGTCAACAAGCCGTTATAACACTCCAAAACAGCTCCACGCCAATCGTCACCTGTTGAATTTCTACTCGGAAACATCTACTATTTGTCACTACCTTCAGGTTTCCATGATAACAATGAGAGCCATTTTGAATTTGCGGCAAATTTTGACTCCAAGCTTAACCACTATGATTGTGACTGTCTAGAGTGTGTACAGACAAATTTGTTTAAGCTAACCTTCAATCGTAAAAATTGCAAAATGCCAATTTGTGGAGGAGACGAGATTGTTAGTATCTGCACATAAATAAGGATTTGTGAACAAGTTTTTCTGGTCATGTTACGTTTGCCCGTAACAACAGAGAAGACCACTCAAATAACGGTACCAGATCCCTTGCTGAAAGCTAGAACCGACCTTCCCAGGCTAATACCAGAACAAGACCAGAGCTCGAGTAGAGGGCTTTATTCACGCCAGCCACGTGCAGAGAAGAAGTGAAATCGAAAGTAATTCAAGTCAAGGTTGACCTTGACTTGATAAAAGCGTAACAAAACAAATGTTAAAAAATTAATGTAAATAGAATTAGAAACCAGTCTTGGGGAATCGTGGATCCCCAACAGGTCACTTTCCAGGGGATTTACCATAAAAGGGAATCAGCTCAAGCTAATTAAACTACATCGAAGAATCAAACATACCCTCATTTCCATGAGTTGTTACATCACCCCGAATGTTTTTCGCCAGGAATCGCTGACGCCAAGGAAACGTGCTGCTTAACTGACCGGCTTATTCTGAAGCATTATCAGGTCCAGCGCTGTTTAGACACCAATTAAATTAGTGACTAGCGAAACCACATAAAGTAGGTCATATTCAGTGGTGTTTTTAAGTCCAAAACATTTAATTGGTGGTTTGTAATACCTTGAAAACGCCCACATCCGTGCAATTTTGATGGTCTAATCCTCATTTCCTTCCTGCACATCCAGTTGACTGCATTATCGTAGACTTTTTTGATTACCTAAAAAAGACTGAATTTGCTTACCGATTTATTAGAATACCTTCTCTAGTTCGCTTCCTCGAATGCATCTTCTGTTGCAAATGTGGAATGCAGACGGTCAGAACAAGGAAGTATCCAAAAATAGGTGGGACAGATGAGCCAGCAGGAGATCTAGATAATAACGCCGTTCCATGTGAGACACATGAAATGCTGCTTAAGATTGATGCATTTTCTCTACAAAATTATTTAAGTGAAAAAAACCTACTTTTATAGGAAAGGTCAAAACATACACTCGACATTCTTTGTAGCGAAATCGCGCAGTTCTCTTAGGTGGTGGGGGAGGCATTCAAGGAATTTGTGGAGTGCTCGTTCTTTATTTCCGAATACCACCACGCAGATGATTTGATTTCACATCACCCAAGAGCTTGTGAGTACCACACAATGACTAGCTGATTGGTTCAAAGTACTTTTAATAGGGTGTTTCACGTGACCCTGGTCATGACAGTCATGTGATCGTTTGCTCAAATAATCCAAGTAATCATTCACTGCAACAGTATCTGGTACATTGTGAGTGAACGTCATTTGTTCTTGCCGTAAAAAAGGTCTTCGTGTGGTCTGACATGCCTTTCGTTATTTCAATCAAGCTGGGCAATCTGTCACCTCCATTCATTTCTGTGCTCAGCTTGGCCTAATTACAATTACAATTTGAATTGCCACACAAATTCTACCGTCTGGCACTCAGTTGACCCTCTGCTGGTCATAATGAAGCCTCACTGTCTTATTCTTTGATGGTTTTCGAATTACAGAATAAGCCGCATTCATCCAGTGACGTGTGCGTTTGAGAGCTATTGTGTGTGTGTGGAAACCAGGCGTGTAGGCACATCATTCACACGAAAGCATCATAAATGAAATAGGTGGAGATGCGGCACTAATTTCCTCGTTTAGAGTACCGAAAATTGCAGGCTCAGGGCAAACATCGCTGACTGGTATAATCACCTTACTAACTGACGCTCAATTTGTGCGAAAAATGACACGGAATCGCACCTAGGATGGCCAAATAACACTATGCGAATGAGCACTGCCCCTATTTGTTCCTGCTAATTTAATTTTTTTGCAATAAACAAAAAAATTGTAACAAATTGAGAACCAAGTAAAGCTTCCTCAGAAGAAAATAACGCATGGTCTTTCGTCCAGTAACAATTGAAGCTAGTCCATTTCAATGGACTTACCAACACGTCAAGGATGTGCCGTCCGTCTTGCATTGGTTGTAGATCTCTTTAGAAATCAACCATACACAAGCGCGTTTAGCCATCATCACTTAGTTGACCAATCGATGTGATCAAACTCTGTACTGGCAACTTCTTCTGTGTTGTCTTCGTCTTTTTGAGACACGCGTGTATCGAATGGTTTCGTGTTCTCCAACACATCCTCAAGTCCATGCAAAGACATCCAAAGCTGCGTAATTGACGTGGGTTATGCCGAACGAAATCTCTGATCAAAATGCTGATCTCGTTAAAGTATACTGCAGCTTATCAGTTGAAAGGGAAGACACGTTTCCAAGCCTGTTCTGTTCATTGTCATCTCTGTGCTTAATGCTTATTAGTCACCCACGCATCGACGAGTAAACTGCTGCATTGGGTACGATCATGTGCCGAATGACTTCAACAAGAGATTTTGGTCTTTATGGCTTTGAGAGGTGTCGAATTTCAGCACAAACCCGGTCATTCAGTGACTTGCGTATTGCTGGGAAAGACGAGT